TGGGTTTGTCAGGTTCCGGTTTTGATGAAAAACGGTACATTTTTAATCTGGTTGTGTGTTGTTTCTGTTCTGTTTCCCCAGTAAAGTTTATATTTCATCGCAGCCCATTAGTCATCCCTCGCTCTGCAGTCATGCGGTTCCTGTCTTCATCCTGGGTCAGCGGTTTTTCTTTGCCAGTCAGTTCGGGCACACAGTTAGTTCTGGATTCTGCTGCGTTTATGGTTGCTTAATAAACACTTTTACTTCTCTAATCCTCTTGCCTCCAATCATGTAGTTTTTATTTGCTTCTTACTACTACAAAAAGTTATTTTTCCAGACAGGAGGGCATAGAAAGCACACCCTGGTACATTTAAAAATTTCTTCCACAAAACAAATATTACACACTATGATTATCTATTACTCACAGTGTTGCCACTCAGTAACTCTGAGCAACGCCAGCAACGCCTCTAGTAACTCGTATTTGTTGTTTCCTGTTTGACTTTAACGTGAATCTTGGTCCAGTTTTCTGCACAGCATTGCTTTCATTACCGAGTCTCGGCCGGGTTTTGGCCCGACCTTTGTCTCAGTGTAGAGACGAGTTTATGGACAACACAGGTCACCCAAATCACCACCCCTCCTCCACCATGCTTCATGTGTCGTCATTTTGTGCCCTTTTATGTCCAGAAATAGCACTTTTCCTCTTGTTCAAAACTCTCGCTCGGTCCACATTGTCCCAGACGTTTTGGAGTTGGTTCTGGAGTGTTTTTCATGGCTACTGATTTTATTTATTTATTTGTTTTTGTTTTTTTTGTTTTTTTTAAGTTTTGAGATTGGCAGCTGGACGAAAAACAACATTTTTGTGGAAGTAGTTTTAGACATAACTTTATATCTTGAACAGGAGTCTTTGATTCTCTGAGGTCGTTGCTGATGCTGTTCCACCTCGGCGTTGTGCAGACGGGTCAAACTGATGATGAAGAGTTTTGAATTATTTTAGTTTTGTTTTTCCCCGCACACATTTCTATTTTTTTTTCTTGTTTAAAACAGGGGTTTAAAACTTTATGTCAAATGGGTCAAAATTGTCAGATCAAAACTACATTTTTGTAAAAAAGTAGATGTTATTAATATTACATCCAACACTTATGCATCCAGTTTTCACATTCTTTTAGGCTCGTTTAAACAAATTTATTTTCAGTTATTTAAAAAAAAGATTTGAGTTACTTTCTTTTAAAACGCTTGCTATATGTGGTTGAGTCTAATAAATTAAATAAAAGATGCGAATTTTAAAAGTATGAATATTAAAGTTTGGTGGTAAAAAGATAAATACTTTGTGTTATATTTAACATTTTCAACTATCAGTAATAATTTTAATAATAAACTAGTTTGTATCATTATTGAACTGCAGTGTGGGGCCACAAAAAATCAGTCTAAGGTCCACAATTTGCCCCCGCGCCACACTTTGGACACCCACAGTTTAAACCATTTATTTTGGTTTAAATCTAAATAAATGAATGAATAAATAATGTGGAATCTTTTGTGTTTTTGTTAAATTTAGAAGATCTTGTCAATCTGGTCTTGTAGAGACCAGATTGACCACAGTAAGTTAAAATGCATAAATCTGTACAAATAAATAAAGATGTTCTTACTTTTGTTTACCAACAGTATATTTTTGTCACTTAATATGGATTCAGAAAAACTAATTCCACCTGTTTAACTCGTCTACTTGAGTCCTAAAATGGTTCTGATCTGAAACAGAGATTACAAAACAAAGATTGTTCAAGCTAAAAATTACTTCTTCTTTTTTTTTTTTTCATTTCTGGAAATTTATTTTAAAATCGATGACTGGACCGATGATTAAATGGTTGCAAATGTGTAAATGTGCAAACTTTACACATTATGAAAGCAAACATTCAGAAAAGGAGGAGGAAGAATGTGACTGTAAGCAACATGAGTCCCTGTAAGGAGTGAATAACTAAAATGATGAATTTCATTCAAAGTTTATCTATTTCCAGTTTCAAAACGGAACATTTCAGAGCACAGTCTGATCTAAACATTTAACTTTAAAATCACAGTGTGTCTTTAAAGTTTCTTGTGTTTTGCTTTTTTTTTATCACAAATGCTTCAGATCATCGATGTGGAAAAGTAATTTCATCCTAATGATCAATAAACGTAAAATCAATCTGTTACATCTCTGTGAGAAAATGCTGACCCCTTCTTCTTACTGCCTATAAGTCCAGACTTTGGCTAGGCCACTCCAAACCGTCATTTTGTTTTGCTTTTAAGGCATTAAAAAGCAGACCTGTTGGTGCAGTGGCGCTCCCAAGGGGTGGGCATGAGGGGCCCAGGGCCCCGTCTTCAGCCCTCCAAAAGAATCATGTCTATACACATATAAACATAAACAAATAAATATAAATATAAATAGCTCTGGGAAAAACTAAGAGCCTGCTGCACTGAGCCCCATTGAAAACCTCCTGGTTATTCCACCAAATACTGATTCCTGAACTCTTCCTGAGTTAAAACATTAGTATTGTTGTTTCTAAATTAATATTAACTTGTTTTCTTTGCATTATTTGAGGTCTGAAAGGACTGCATCTTTTTCATTATTTTTTGTGAATAAGTACTAAATTTTTACTTGGAATTTCAGAGACATGTTGTCAGCAGTTCATAGAGTAATTATTTTTATTTTTTATCCTTGTTGAATTATTATACTGTCCCTTAAATGGAGTAAATGATGTCTGCTCTAGATCCTGCTCTGGGTTATTTTGTGACCTCCTGGAGACGTCCTAAATTGGATTTTGGAGTCATTTTCCATTTGTTTTTCATCTTTTCATGATATTTTTTTTAGATTTTGGCATTATGTGTTGTTGTTTTTTAGATCTTTTAGCCTACTTCTTGTTGATACTCAATGCTTAAGATGATACTTAAGTGATTCCACAGCTTACATCCCAACCAGGCTTTGGGTGTAACATGTGAAATTGACCCAAAAATGGGATTAGTCACAGTTATTCATAATTTAACACAACTGAACTTTCACACTGGGTCGGGTTGAGCTTTTTGCCCTCTAGTAAATTTAATAAAAACAGCTTTTGCTGTTAATGAAGTGAAGCAAATCCAGAGGAAATAAGAGTAGTTAATTAAATAATTAATCAGGAATTTTAAAATAAAAGCGTTTCCTTCCATCATAATAGTTTAAAAGATTGTCACACCAAACCTCCAGTCTTTCCAGCAAACTTAAATTTGGGCTTCAAAGTTGTCAATCATTAGTCGCTCCTACACCCGGTTTAGTCTCACTTCATTTTTTTCTATCTTTACTCGCTGACGGTTACAACGTGACATGAAGGCCAGATGCATGTTGCGTAAGTTGATCCCTCATGAGAGCTGCTGTCCTCACCCAGCACAAAACTCCAAGGTCCAACCATAGTTAGTGATCCTCTCCAGCAGAGACAGTCCTTTCTGACCAGGTCAGCAGGTAAGATGGGTCTGTTTTCACCTTTCTGCTGCAGATCTCTGACCGCTTTAGGAAGCAGAGGTGCTTATTTCTCTTGAGATCGCTCAAATTTAAGGTGTTTTAATTTTTTAAGCATTTCCGATTGAAGTGATTGGTGAAAAGATTTTTTGCAAAGCTTATTTAAGCGTATCTCAGATTGCCTCTAGCTGTTTGATTAGTTTAGATTTAAGGTGTTTCTTTGTATAATTTAGATTTTTTTTTCACTTTGACTCAGTTTTAGTTTCCTTAAGGAGTGACAGTTTGGGTGGAATATCGCACAAGGTTCGGCTGGCACATGTGTTTTTGTTCTTACACTTAAATCCAAATCTATTCAAGTCAGTTTATTCTTAGGGTCCAATTTACAAAAAAAATATTTAAATTCAGTCCTAGATAGATAGATTCAAGCATAGATTAAAACAACAGTCTTTCTTTTAAGAAGATAATAAAATATAATATTCTATCAAGTGGACTGATTCGGTAGAGTGCTGTATCATTGCACAGATAATATATTTTCTTTTCTTTGTTGTTTCTTTGGGTTTTTCTAAATTACATTGCCTGTTATGTGTTTAACATGTTCTATATGTCTGGTTGATTGATGCCACCTTCCTAAGAGTCTTTTTTTCCAACAGTATTTTTTTTATTTTCCCAGAATCATGACTTGGGTCATTATTTTAGGAAGGTGACGATACGGTGTAGCAAAATGACTTTTACTTCCAGCTACTCCTTTTCATTCAAAACTTTTGTTTATATTAACATGTGGCGTGTTAATTTTAAAAAGTAAATGAATAAAATAAATAATGATTCACCTATTAAACAGTAAATAGTCGTCTTTCCATACGAGTGCATTGATTAGATAAAATGTTGGGGTTAATAATTCAGCAGCAAGGTGTGGTTCAGGGTCGCTGAGACCAAAACGAGGAGTTTGTTCAGTTGATTAGGTGCTGACGTGCTTCTTCCTTTGCTTTGCCACAGATTAGAGCCTGAAAAGCCTCAGTAAAGATGGGAGACTGGGGGATTTTGTCTACCTTGCTGGAACGAGTCCAGTCCCACTCCACTGTGATTGGGAAGATCTGGATGAGCGTCCTCTTCCTGTTCCGGATCATGGTGCTGGGAGCGGGCGCCGAGAGCGTCTGGGGCGACGAGCAGTCGGACTTCATCTGCAACACCCAGCAGCCCGGTTGTGAGAACGTCTGCTACGACTGGACCTTCCCCATCTCGCACATCCGCTTCTGGGTCCTGCAGATCCTGTTCGTGTCCACGCCGACGCTCATCTACCTGGGCCACGCCATGCACGTCATCCAGCACGAGAAGAAGCTAAGGGAGGCGTTAGCGAGTCCAGACGGGCCGCAGAAACTCAAGCAGCCCAAATACAGCGACGAGAAGGGACACGTAAAGATCAAGGGGAACCTGCTGGGCAGCTACCTGACCCAGCTCATCTTCAAGATCATCATCGAGGCCGGCTTCATTGTGGGGCAGTACTACCTGTACGGCTTCGTCATGGTCCCCATGTTCGCCTGCCAGAGGAAGCCGTGTCCCTTCACCGTGGAGTGCTACATGTCCCGGCCCACCGAGAAGACCATCTTCATCATCTTCATGCTGGTGGTGGCCTGCGTCTCCCTCCTCCTAAACGTCATCGAGTTGTTCTACCTGATGGCCACAAGGTGCAAGTCCAAGCGCCGCACCCAAAGGGTGACGTCGGCGGAGAACCCCGCCAGCCTCTCGGGCCCCAGGTGGCCGACGACGGAGGACACGTTGCGGCAGAACAAAATGAACATAGAGCTGGAGAACCACAGCGTGGGAGGCAGCCTGGACGGAGCCAAAGAGGAGAAACGGCTCCTGAGCGGACATTAGCTTCCCAAGATTAGCTTGTTTTCAANACNTTCAAGAGACTCAAACCAGTGTGCATATCGTATACTAACAAAAATCACCATAAATATCCAACGGGAAGAGTCACAGTAGCTGTGTTTCCGTTACAAATGAGCACAAAAATTTGTCGATAAAAAACACAATTTTGCAATTAAAATCACATGAATAAGTCATTAAAAAAGATGCTGCTCCATTGTCCACCTACCACTTCCTGTTGTCTTCTTCATGGTTTCCGGCAATAGTAACATCTAGTTGTTGATCACATGACTTCTGTGATGTGAAAAAAGTGTTTCCAATACAGTTTTGCTAAACACAATATTTTTGAAATTGACAAATTTACTTTTGTAATTCCAATTCACTCAATCATACGGTCAATGGAAACGCAGCTATGGATGAATTTTTCTTCTTATTTTAACTTGAAATCTACTAATAAACGTGTGCAATACTGATTTTATTTATACTTGTGACTGGAAGAGTGAGAAGTTTAAGTTTGTGTTCTTTGTGTGTTTGTGACACAGATCTTTTCCATTAAAATACGCTTCCTGTACTGTGATTACGATGATTGTAGCAGAGATATTTTTATATGGCTTTATCTCTTTCTAATAAATGATTGAAACTGAACAAAGTTGTTTTTTTAACTATAGAAAATAAAGTAAGAAATAAAATTCTGAAGAATCAGAATAAAGTTGATCTATAAAATACTACACTTGTATATTAGTGTGATTTATTCATTCATACTACACCAACATCCATTTTCTGAACACCCTTGTCCCTCAGTGGGGTCGGGAGGGGTGCTGGTGCCTATCTCCAGCTAATGTTCTGGGCGAGAGGCAGGGTACATCCTGGACAGGTCGCCAGTCCGTCGCAGGGCAACACAGAGACACACAACCATGCACACACACACACACCTAGGGGCAATTTAGACAGACCAATTAACCTAACAGTCATGTTTTTTGGACTGTGGGAGGAAACCGGAGTACCCGGAGAAAACCCACGCATGCACAGGGAGAACATGCAAACTCCATGCAGAAAGACCGGGGCCGGGAATCGAACCCAGAACCTTCTTGCTGCACGGCAACAGCTCTACCAACTGCGCCACTGTGCAGCCCACTACACCAACATATAAGCTTTTATTCGTTCTCTGACTATAAATAATACTAACCGTTTCCTGATTTAGCTCATTTATCAGGTTTTTATCAGTTGGTATGACTTGGGTCAAACGTTTTTGACCTCATAAACATCAACTTTGTTGTCTTTAAATGCCTTTTTAAATAATTTTGCTACGAGGATGATCGATGGACTTCCTGTCTTGAGATTCAGTTATCACACATAATGTTTTTTCATTGTGACGTCATCCATTGCATGATGTGGACCAATCCCTCCTACAACAAAACACCCACACACCATGATGCTTTCACCCCATGCTTTCTAATTGTGGCTTTTCCATGAAATGTAATAATCAGTATGTTGAAATTAAGTGATATAACCTTAAACATTAAGGTCTTCAAGCTGTATTCTGGCTTTTTATGTTGCTTTTTGAGTAACGGCCTCTTCCTTCCTGAACGGCCTTTCAGCACAAAACTTATTTCTCTATGGAAATTAAAACTCTTATCAAAGTATTTTCAGATCTGAGATTTGCTCCTGGAGTGTCTCCAATTGACTAAAATCTTGTGAATCCTGGCTGTTATAGAAAAACAATATCTTTAGTCAGAGGCTTCTTCATATTTGATGTAATACTGACTGCTGCAGGAGATTTGTCCTGCCTAGAGCCAGTAATGTCTACAACATCTCTTTGAAAAAACTTAATTAATATGAGTTAAAGTAATATTAAATTTCCTTTTTGGATCAATAAAGTACTTCTGCATTGAACTGAATTGAACTGAATTAATCTGAAGCTCACTAAGCCCTAAGATAATCGTCTGAGCATTTACAAACTTAGTGTTTGTCCACTACTGAACATTTTATATACATATATAATTACAGTTTTTACTACGTCAAGTAGCAACAGTAGTAAAAATAGGTCCATAAAGACATAGAACAACCAACGACAGTTTGATTCATTTGGAATAAAATTATAGCAGTGGCTGGCATTTGCAAGTCAAAAGTTATGGTTGCTATAACTTTTAACACTATAATTCAGCAGATGAGGAACGTATAAAAGTGTAAAAGTCACTCTGACTGCAAATGAGACGGGGTTGATTATGATAGCGAGACAAAGCTCCTCTATAACCTGAATATTGTCTTAAAACTTCCATCTGTACTTAGTTTTTCATGTTTAATATGCTATAATGGACGATTTCTGTCAGAACAATGTGGTTTTTGCCTTTTACACCCCAACTCTGTTATTAACTCCTCACCTTTTAGATCCATATCTCGCGTGTTTGTCCTAAAAAAGAACTATTCACACAGCTGAAGCAGAAACATGCGTTTTTCAAACTGCTGCCAATCATTAACTTCCACAATCTTGTCAGAGCTCAGCCCAAATGTCTCATTTCCAGATGTCACGACAACGTGACGGCTCAAGCGGTTGTGCAACAGCATCTAATCTAAAGTTCAAGATATCGTCCACGAGTTTGACTCGGAGTGGTGGACGCTGTCATTCAGCTTCAGCGCCGGTGGCCAGTCAGTTTGTCTCACAGAAGACAGTTTTAAATCAAAGGTAAGCAGGTTTTTATATTGTCTTTATCATTTCCATACAAGGAAATAGGATCAAATGTAAAATATGTTTATTTTTGGAAGGATATAGAAAAATGTATCTAAGCCAAGCAGGTGTCTTAACCTCATATTAATATTTATTTATAAATATAAAGAGTTTTAAGCGTGTCTGTGTGCATGTTCTAACAAACATGCACACAGACACGCTTAGTTATGTTTTAACTAAGCAAACATAAAACCTGTGATTTTTAGTTTTTCTTTGATCAGATTCAGCTGTTCTGATTAGTTAGGATAACACAGCAAACATTAAATAACTTTCTTATGATTTAAGATGAACGTAGCAGCAAATTAAAACATTAAACAATAAAAAAATGCTTTTTGATGTCAGATGTGATCAAATATTTCTTCATGATCAGTTCAGTGAGATCAACCGAGGCCTGATACTGTAGCTCTTCTGTTTTTTTTTTCTTTTTACTTATTATTTATATTATTTTAACAATATATATGAATTCTTTTTCTTTTCTTGCAATAGTTCTCTGTTTCTTTTTATCAACTTATTTTATTATCGTTCTTGTACAGCACTTTGGTGCAGTTTTACACCTGTTTTTAAAGTGCTATCTAAATAAATTTGACATTGACATATTAGAGATAAAGCTGGTATGTTTTTATATAATTTTTATCAAACATAAAAAACAGTTTTTCCTCTGTTTGTTTAATTTTTGACTGAAATAACAAATAAATGAGAGGTGATGATTTCAGATTTTACCATCTGCTGTGTGAATTGTGTGCAGGAGCCATGGGAGAGTGGGGATTCCTGTCCAGTCTGCTTAATAAGGTGCAGACCCACTCCACTGTGGTGGGAAAAGTCTGGCTCAGCGTGCTTTTCATCTTCAGGATCATGGTTCTTGGAGCGGGAGCCGAGAAGGTCAGATTATAATATTTAAGTTTATAATTTTTTTAATATTATCTAATTTTTTCCCCTATTTTTTGAGTGTAAACTGTAATGTACCTGTGACAGTAACTTGTGCATCGTGTAAGTATGTAAATAGCTCTCTTTGGTGGCTAACGTCACATTTACAGCGGATGTGTGAACAATAATGTAAAAGCTGTGAATTAATCATTAAATAGATGCTTATTGTAACTATAATAATCTTTCCTTATGAGCTTAAAATTAACCAGTTTTACTCATTAATGATTTATTTTATTCTAAAAGCAATTATTCAAAGACCTATTCGAATTTGAAGTGATAGAACAACATAATTAGTGAAGTGGAAATAAAATCCTACATTTTTTTTTTCCCAAATACAGAATAAAATGTCTGAAGTTCGTCTCAGTTTCATCTGGTACCCATGCAATGAAATCATTGCATGTGTTTGCTGAAACATAGTAGTGGCTGAATTCCACACACGCCTGCAGTTTTTGTTAAAGTTTCATCAGTTTTTATTGACAGAAACTGATTTGGAAACATTTTCTTTTCCCTGATTTTGTTATTTTTTGTTACTTATATGAATTATTGTCATTCTGGGTCTTAAAAAAACCAAAATTTCCACTTAAATTTATATTTTGGTCAGTCAGATGATGAAATTTTAAATATTAAATGATTGATAATTTGATCAGTTACTACCTGCTCTACTGGAGTAATTTCTTGGATGGCTACTTTTTACTTTAACTTGAGTAATTAATGTATTGCGACTCTTACTTGATGTATAGTTTTTGGTCCTCTGCCACCTCTGATAACAGTAATAATAAAATCTAGTTTTAACGTTGCAGGTTTGGGGTGATGAACAGTCCAAAATGGTTTGCAACACCAAGCAACCTGGTTGTAAGAACGTCTGCTACGACCAAGCCTTCCCCATCTCGCACATTCGGTTCTGGGTTCTCCAGATCATCTTCGTCTCCACGCCAACCCTAATCTACCTCGGCCACGTCATCCATGTCATCCACAAAGAGAAAAAGCTGAGAGAATACATGGAAGCCCACCCCAGCCGGGGGATTGTGAAGGGACCAAAGTACTCTGACGAAAAGGGGAAAGTCCAGCTCAAGGGCAACCTGCTGGGAAACTACATGACCTCCATCTTCTTCAGAATCCTGCTGGAGATAGGCTTCATAGTGGGGCAGTACTACCTGTACGGGTTCGTCATGGAGCCGCAGATCGTCTGCAACCGGGCGCCGTGTCCCTTCACCGTCGAGTGCTTCATGTCCCGGCCCACGGAGAAAACCATCTTCATCATCTTCATGCTGGTCATGTCCTGCGTCTCGGTGGCGCTCAACGTGGTGGAGATCTTCTACCTGGCGTGCACCAGGTCGTCCAGGCGGAAGGCCAAATCGGTGCCGACGACGGCCATCGCCGTCCACCCGCGTTTCACCACCGACAGCATGATGAAGAACGAGAAGCTTGGCCGTCATGACTCCAGCACGGCTTGAGGGACGACGTTCGGTGGATCCACCGAGTCTGTTGGCGGCAGGGCGGGGAAGCGGTGACTACACTGCAAAAACACAAAATATTACCAAGAATTTCTGGGGTTTTTTAGTGCAAATATCTTAGAACACTTGAAATAAGAAAAACTAACAAGTAGGTTTTCAACAAGATATTAGAGCTTGTTTTATGTTGCTTTATGACTTTTGATTTTCGTGTTTTTATAATGCAAAGCACTTTGAAATGCTTTGTTGCTGAAATGTGCAATACAAATAAACTTGATTGGCTGATTATTTCAAGTAAATAGTTCCTTTATAAAAGATGTAACCTTTATAAAAAATATTATTTTTACATATTTGTTGAAACTGTCAAATCAAGCTCATCTTTCTTCTCCCAGTTCTAACTAGAAACAACCAATCAGAGCCAGGAGGCGGGCCTTAGTGCTGTCAATCACCTTCCTTGCTCTGTGCTATGCTGCAGCTAGCAGAGCCTGTTGTGAATGCTAAGGCTAGTTAGCATCGCCATCAATGATGGCAGACAAACAGTTTTTTCTTTAATGAAAAGCTGTTTTTCTGCCATTATCACATGAGCACCAAGTACACAACATTGATTGACAGCACTAAGACGCCCCTCCTCTCTCTGATTGGTTGCTTTTGGTCAGGGGCGGTGCATTTCTTCAGACTGCAATAGAACCACAGGTGATCACTCTTTGCACAATTTTAACAAGTATGTAGAAAACATTTTTATAAAAGTTACAAACTGCAGGTTTGGTACTGATGAAAACGTTCTGGTTCCACTGGCAGATTTTTTCACTTATAGTAAATTTTTCTGATGCTACAAGTGAAATAATCTGCATCTGGAACTAGTACTGTTTCATCAATTTTAATTAAATATTAACTTAAAACAACATATTATATCTTGCTGAAAAGTAACTTGTAAGTCATTTTAAATGTTTTAAGTGTACTAAGATATTTCCACTGGAGACTAGATAAAATACTTGGTCAGATTTTGTGTTTTTGAAGTGTATAAAGGTTGAATCTATGAGAAAAAATGGCCCGTTTGTATGACTACAGTTACAGAATACAGTGCTGTTATTTATAAGGTATTAAATGACTAAACATATACAAATTTAGAGTTCTAGTTTGTTCCTGTTTAATAAGTAACAAACTGAAATATCTAGTAGCTTTGATGTCAATGAGATTGTGAAGAAAAATGGTTTTATTTGGTGTTTGCTTTGTGTTTTGTACATATGTGTATCAGGATCACAGCTCTTCTGCAGGAAGCTGCACCTGTTTGGTTTTTAAATCTATTTGTTTGCTTTACAAGACCTGATTATACATTTTTAGTAAATCGTTTTGGTTGGCTTTCTTTTTATCAACTGTTTTTTTTTTTCTTTTGACATAATTAAATTCATGCAATACAAAATGTATAATTTTATGTCCCATTTTGTAAAATAAAATATTTTCTGAAAGGTTAATTGACCTCCCTAATTTGATATGTGAATATGATGCCATTTACTGGGATGCATCTGCAAAATGAAACTTTATTCTGCATTTACAGCACATATATTAAAAAACAACACACCATGCCAGAGTGGCAGCAAGTAATAAATTAAACTGAGAAAAATTATTTTCAAACTTTGTTAATTTGGATGTAAGTTTGGCCTCAATGTGATGCTGAAAAATAAAAATCTCTCTGATTTTCAGCTTTCTAGCATAAACCTGGACGTTTTGGGTCAAAGTTATCATTTACAACTATTAATGATCATCCACTGGCCTTTCAGTTTTTAAGACATTTTCTCCATAATTCTTTGGGTCAAAGGTTTAATAAATATAAACAAAAAACTAAGCAAAGCAGAGGACAGTGGTGGTCCCCACCAGGTAAAAGGTTACCTAACCTTGCTGCATTAATCATAAAAACTTATTCCGCTAATATTGACGCACTGAAACAAGACGTATTTAGAGGAAGCTAATGCTAAAGCGCTAATCTCAACCATACTGATACAAAATGACAAAAAGTCTTACAAGGTATGCTGCCCTCAACAGGGTTAAATTTGTTATTACACACCTACTTGTAGTTTGCTCTTCAGGAAGTGGCTCTTTGTAACAGACCTTTCACTCAAGGCTCCATTTTTGTTGAGTTTTGCTAACTCTGTTGCTAATTTTGGCTAATTGCTATCACTCAGAAAGCTCTCCAGACTTCAGTAGATTTTGAACTATTTACTGTAGGGAATGCCTTCTGGGTGTAGAATAAGTCATTTACTGCCTCTCATCACAGAAGAGACTGCTGTGAAAACAATCTTCAAGCCCTTCAAAATAAGAGCATGACTATAAATGTCATGCTAGATAACCGAAACTTCAACAGTTGAACTTTATTCAACTGACAGTTTACAAAACAGCCAAGTAAATTAGTGCTTTAGAATTTACCAGGAAAACTTAATTTAGCCTCAATTAAAATTCACAGATATTAAATATTAGCATATTGACAGATTAGCATAAGTGTGGCCACCGCTGGTATAGAACATGAAATTATTATAAAAGCAAATGGGGCCCAAATAAAACCTTAGCAAACTGTTACATGTGAGTTTTTTCTGCCCAAACTCTGCAGCTAACACTTCCCTAGCTATCCTGATTGAACACACTGGATCCCAATAATCTTTCACCTCCTTTGTGTTTTTGTTCACTGTTTTCTTCTCTCCATACCAGTTTGTTTGTTTTGGCCATTTTTCACATCTTTTCCCTCTAGTAATTTTGTTCCCCTTGCATTTTTTGACTCCTTCTGCCTCTCTTGTACTGACCCTGGCTTTTCTTTGAGCTGTGCATTTAACGCCACCCTGCTTCGTGCTTTCTTTGAAAAATAATCTGATTCTTTGGAAGAAGCATATTAAGAAATGAATGATGATTCAAGACATTTCTGCAGTTCTTGAATCCCCCTCTGTTTGCCAGGACATGAATCAATTAACAGTAACTCGACTCCCTAACTGATGCATTGGTCAAGAGTTTCCTGACATCTCCCACACCAAACTGAAAAGTTATGTGTAGCTTTTCCAGCTAGAGACAAACAAAAAATATTATCTTTGGATGCCCTGGAAACAAAATACTCACTAGATAGCACTCACTAGTACTTGGACCCTGTTATCTATGTGGTATAATATGTAGTAACATATTGCATCATAGGTTATGTTGTAAATGTGTTACACTTTTACAGAACATTTTTATCTTTAGCTGAGTTGTCAGTATGCTCTACATGTGTTTATGTTATTTGTTCACACTGACAGCACTGTGGAAAGGTTTGGACTCCTACCTTATTTCGGTATTTTTGTTTGAACTTTGAGTATTTTTGACTGATTTTCCATTCTATCAATTTTAGCGATGTTTTTGCTGTTGTTTCTCTTAAAGGGGCCACTGTTGTGTCTCAACCCAATAATTATTTTAAATTGAATTTTTAGACATTTTATTACATTGACCCTCTCACACAAATATAACTCATCCCCATGTTTTTAGTTAAATCTGTCAACAATAGAAAATAGTCCACATTTTCACTAACAGAAAATATGATTTTGGAACCAACAAGGTTATTACTAAGGAGCAACTGGCCTAGAAATTTAACATACTGTAGATAACAAACAATTATAAAGGATGACACCTTCTTCAGCTGTTCTTTTGTTTTAATTTCCTCTGGAAGTCACAGAACGTGAAGGAACCATGGAACAAACTGCTAACCTGGCTTCGCATAGCTGGTCATCCAATATCAGAAAACTAGAAAAAACTAGAAATTTGTGGTGTTTAGACAATACTAAACGTGGTGTGCCTGGGGGGATTGGGTTCCTACTAGGCAGTCATTGCCTTTATGACTCCAATTCAGTAAAATTTGTCATCATTTGTGCATGTTCATTTGAATGTGAATGTGCATTTGAACGCCTTCATGAACATGAACAAATCCATACACTGATTGGGAGTCAACATCAAGATGTGGGAGGGAGAAATTTCCCTTTTCCAAAACAATCACTTGCTCCATTGAGTCACAGTCGACTGATGCTACCATAGATAGAGCTGCGTGGGGTGAATAAAAAAGCGACAAGTTATTCATCTCTATTTATTTACCAGTTTCATAGAACCTGGTGATTCATGAATCATTTGAGCAAGTGGATATTTTTCATTTACTGTTTCTCATTGGAACCCCAGCTGGATGTTTCCTTTTGTTGCCAAGCAAGTTTGACCAAAGTCACGTCAGCATAGAAAATCATGTTCCTCTTTCAGTCAGAGGGGTGGAGCACCAACAGGAGCCGTTGGTGACATTTTAGACTTTTGGAAATGTTCTGAGTTTTCTGTTTTTTTATTTCTAGAATTTTTTTTTTCTAGCACATTTTTGACTTTCCA